TTTTAGCTATAAAAATTTAGATTTAATTATGACATTTATTTTCGTCATTAATAATATAAATAATTGGTGAGAAAAATTTTATTGTCTCTAATCAATATGTGATTTAGTGACAACAAAAAAATTGTCACAAAATATGTAAGGTGTTAAATAGTGACAACTTAAAATTTGTAGTGAATAATTCTACTATTTGCTACGAAAAACAATTTATAGCTTAATACAATTTTTTTTTGCTATAATTGTTCATAATTACAAGTGACAACTTAAAAAAAGAATACTGCAAGTGCTTCATAAGAAATACATAGAGTTCATTCGTTAATTGGCGAGGAAAAATTAAAACCAACGAATTCGGTCGATTTTGTAAAAATGAAAAAGTTCAATTCATCAATTTTCTTAAATTACGCAATTATAAAATGCATCATTTGAAAAATACAATCCATGTTATAAGTACCGTGAGTGGGGTACGGTTCTACCACTAGATCGCTAATATTTGTTGGTTTAACACTTTTTATTTTTTATTTGCTACGCTTTCATCGATAAGGACGATAAACAAAATAATTTCTCAAGTCTTGGGCAGTCTCCTTCAGAAGAGGCCGTATTAGTTTTTATTAGCTGTCCCAGGGAAAAGAGCTTAATAGAGTCCTAAGGGCAGTCTCTTTGAGAAGGGGCCGTATTTGTTTTTATTAGCTGTCCCAGGGAAAAGAGTAAGTATTGACTGTTGGCATGTCCGAGCTAAGATCGGTTGAGACGGGTAAGGTTGCCTAGCTTACTTGGTAAAGGACCCCTTTCTTTAGTTTAGCGGCCATGGATCGATTCTAGGTGGTTCACTTGTATACCCCTATTCTCTGAGTTCACGTTTTGATCTAGCAAATTTACTTTTCAGATGAGTTCCTTAGTTTTTGGACAGGACAGGTGGGAACCAGGAGGTAACGCGTCTGTTAAAGCAATCGGGCAAGGTTCTAATTTTTGTATGTGTCTATTGATTTGTGATTGGTAAACTGCATAGACTAAGCCGATCTATTTGCTTCTGTCTATGTACATATTTAATAGTAATTCCACATCCGTACGTAGAGCAACTATACAGAGATAACATCGACTTACAAACTCAAACTTTGCAAAGGTGCGAAATATTTCATGAATTTCTATTAACTTTTTCCTTCAGTGTAGAAAAATTGAAATAAACTAAAAAATGAAAGCACAAATAAAAGAAATGAACCAACTAGGATTTCAAATATATTATGATGAAGTACTATAGTTATGGGTATCAATGTTTTTTTCCAAAACAATTGATTTATTGATCGAATTGAACCGATTATTCAATTTTATTTATTAAAATCGAAAGTTTAATTTTATATAAATTTATAATTGTACGGAATAATTTGTCACGACCCAAAAATGGACGTGATGGCACTCGTCTTATCCCACCAAGACAAGTCAGCCTAAAATTCAACCATTACAATATAATGCGGAAATTTTTATAATAAACTCAAATATACCCCCAAAATCTAGTTGTCACATGTACAAAGCCTCTAAAGTATTACAATTGAATCAAAAGAAAAATACAAGTCTCATATGACATTGTTTCTAGAGTAGAACAAGATCATAAACAGGAGTAAGAATGATCGCTGAGAAGACAAACAACTACCTCACAAATCTCCCAGAAGCCTCGGAAAAGAAGAGAATAACAAGTACCACAAAAATCCAGGCTCGTAACCTACAAAAATTTGTAGAAGCAAGGGGTGAGTACCAAACCACACGGTACTCAGCAAGTAAACCTCTAAACACGAGCTAAGGAGATAGAATACAAGTACTCCCTACCCCCCAACCGAACCTTCACAACTACAATCTGTATAAAACCAGCCCAACCTAACAGTTCACAATTTACAAGCACATATCTCAACACAACACTCTAACAATTTCATATCCTCAACAACAACAATAGTTTCATATCCTCAACAACAACACTCTAACAATTGCATATCTTCAACAACAAGCTCAATATACATCAGTCACAAGTTCCATAGAAAGGCACTCACAAGATCAGCAACACACAAGATCAAGTTCACCAATAATAAAGAAGTGCAATGCAATGAAATGCAATGTCAAGTATAGTGATGCATGTCTGACCTAATGATACACACCCGCTGTCTCTCAGTCCGGGACCCATGGGGGACATATCTGTCC